GATACACATGACTGGTCTGTTGATGACCTTTGACCTGATTTGAGTCCAGCAGAAGTTGCTGTAACTTATCCCACCAATTAGTCCTATCATTTGGAGCTAATTCAATTCTCTCATCAGTTTTCGCAAAATAATTGCATGAATATGCATGGTTATACAACAATGGGTTTCAGTGGGCAGTGTTGTTGAACGCTTTATTGTATTATGTCGCATCAATGTGTGTCAGTTTATACCCAGTGGACAGTTTTGATTACTCTGATTTAAAGGTGTTAATTAAAGTATTTTGTATGATAGAGAGGTGATCAAAGTTTGAGAGGCTGGTGGACAGACTTGGGTAATAGATCTCGTGTGATAGGACATTGTTATGGTAACGGTATTGTTGAGGATGTGTCAGTCTGTGTCCGTTCATAAGACCTGACAATGCTGAGATTCATTTCAAGGAAGATGGTAAGTTTTATTTTTTAAATAATATTACTAATTTTTAATCTGTTGTATCCAAATTGCTAAGATTCAAAATGATTGATAGCTGATCTTGAAAGGTTTTGGAAAAATAATAATCTGAATATAGATTTATATTTGCAACTTTCGAAGACTTAATTATGTTGCATTTGCCTTGATTCAATACCCAACTGTCTGGACCAGAACACTTCTATGGTTGTAAGAGTATATGATTTGTAGATGTTATGTACACATAACACTATGTACTTTCGGTGTATTATGAATTAATGAGCTGGTACATTGGTGTACTTGAAAGTTTTTTGAAGTTGGATGATTGACAGGGGATGAAGTACCATTAACCGTTGGGCCAGTCAGACTTGGTATGGCTCTGTGTTAGGTGATTCTAGCTCCACAGATAAGTATAATGGCAGGCTAGACACCAACATGGCCTCACCGTGTGGAAAGATTGCATAAAAATAATCTCCACGGTTCTTTATGGTGCTATAAAATGGCAGGACTAATGGTAAAACAGGACTGTGGGGATCAAAACAGGAAGGCAGGGGAAACCATAACAAATGTTTCTCCGTAACAACTCACAAAAAAGTCAAGCAAAATGCATTTTTGTCATATGTTATCAATGCTTTATGGTCTATTAAGCTTATTGTTACAATAACACCAGATTTTGGTCTATTAATCTCTGACACAGGGATTTTGGGGTGGCATACCACGGCTGATTTGATGATGGTGGGGAATGTGTTTACTGGTATGGTATATTTCAATGCCTGGTAATTACGTTTGTGTCCACCAGCTTCCTGGAGTAATCTAGGAGGTAATGGACACAAGAATGTGTGATTATTCTCACCAGAAAAATCTCTTCCATAAAACCTTAATGATCATGATAAACAACTGATATTCTTGGTGTCATGTTTACAAATATTGTTTAATTTTTGAAGTCCTTTCAAAGGTTTTCTTTCAAATGTAAGAAAATATTGCTAAGGAAATATTTCAGTAAGGTAAGTATATTGTTTACAACTTTTTATCTAGGAATGTCTTCCCTTTTAATTGTTTATCTAGAAATATTCCAGGGTTGTCTTTTCTTGCTTTGATATCTAGAGTTATCTCCTCATGGATTTAGTAGGGGTTTTGGATTGGAATGGATCAGAGATTATTTTCATATTAAACCATTGACTTCTTCAGCTCTCTTAGTAAATGTTGTTCACAGTCAAAAGTTATTTTGTTCTTAATATGTAATCTATCAGCTCCAATATATTGTCTTTCACCAAGTATTGAGTGGTTTTACGCTCAGTCTTCATCACTGTGGGGTGAACCATTGATGGCCAGGAAACTTGAAATAGTTCAAGTCCCTTAGCAGTGAAGGTCATTCCTCCAAAACTAGGTCTAGCCTGTGAAAGTAGGATGGCCACCTTACTGGTGAATGGAATAGTTGTGTATCTGTGGGAGAGACAGATAATCGTGTGTACTGCCACCGATAAGTGTGACCATCTCAGCTCTCTACTAGCATTACTGGACAGTCCTACTGGAAATACAGGAATGTCCCGTCATGTTTGTGTAGGAGGTAGGGGTCTCCAAGTCTGCTCTCTACAAACAACAGATGTAGACTTAAAGAAAGGGATGTTTACAGATCAGACTTTAATGTTAATAAATTGTGTTAGAATAACACATGTAATTGTGAAGTTGAGTGTATTTGACCTAAATCAAATATCCTGAATGGTCAGAGTTTACTGATGATACTGTATACCGGGAAATGTTCGCCACAGTTCAACCTTCGCCTTTTTCGCCCTCCGTAATGAGGGTAAATTTATCATAAGAGCCAACGCTAGAAACATATATAGCGATCATATGTGAAAGGGCGCAATTAATACTGGGCAAATACAGATTTTACCAGCATAGGACGAAAGTTTGACTGGGCTAAAGTCACCTGTATACAGTAGTTAGGCTACCTTCTTGCATTTCTTCGTTACATTTTTATTGATAAAGTCATATAACATGAAATAATAAACAGTAGCCCCTAAAGGTTTAGTGTATTGATTATTGATACGCATTTGAAAAAGAAATTTACGGGAAAAAACCAAAGTATTTCACAGGTTTCATATGATGCAGAAACAGTGCTAAGGATGAACTGATGAAGTGTTGCTTCTGATGAGATAGCAGGTTTATCGAGGGAGTTGATACTATTCTCATGGAGTACCTTATCATTGTAACTCAGAAAAGGGAAACTTAATGTGTGTGTGTGTAACAGAATTGACGACATGAGAGAGAAATAAAATGTCACCGACGTGGAAGTTCATCACAGTTTATTGAGTATTACAACACCCATATAGTTCCCACAATGCAATTTGCCCTGGATGTGGTTTAGTTTCCATTTAAAACCCCAGTCAACAAGTCCATTGGTTCAATTAAATTTTCAGATTGACTTCTAAAAATCCTCCAAGTTATTGCCTAATGCTTTAGCACTCAGGAAAAACCGAATATTGGTTTCTGTTTATAAAAAGTGAGAGCTGATGGGCAGCAAGATGGGTTTGTAGCTGTGTTCAAACAGATTAAAAGGGGACCTTTTTTCATTGAGAAGTTCAAGTCACTTATCAAATTTAACACTTAAGATTATCATAGATATCATGTTCAGTAGAATTTATTGTGGTAACATCATTGAGAATTATATTTTTATTGTTAGAAAGATACACCATTAGGTGATTCAGCAAACATGTTATGTTCGCCTGTGTAAGACATACACAGGGTTCTGATATGTACACACCTTTTGGAAGAAATCAAAGAGCTGAAATATTAGGATTGGTTGGAAGAACCAAGTGTTTTGTCTCTGGTGATGGTCCTGTGGTCAGAATGTGATAGCCGTGGCTTTCATCAGCTTTCAGAGACTTTTGTCTGTAGTACTTTTCCTGGCAGTGACGTATATTATAGCCTACAGATTCCACAGGTCTTCTAGTCTTCAATGTACTGGTCCTGTGGCACTGTAAGCCTGCTGATACTGTACTGACTGTATACTGATATTAAGCTGATAGTGTACTAATAGCATGCTGATACTGACTGTATACTGATATTACGCTGATACTATACTGATAGTGTACTGACTGTATACTGATATTAAGCTGATACTATACTGATAGTGTACTAATAGCATGCTGATGGGCTTCTAACCTGCAACTCTGTGTTGACCACACGGTCTGTATACTAGTGGTCTGAACCAGGGGAGGAGTGTCTGTAGGAATTGAGGAATGGGTGAGGTTTACAAGAAAAACAACAATGTGTTAATACAATACAGATAAACCCAGGTAGAAGTTATCTGTGGGCCCTGATATGGGAAATATTCCACCTAACATCACAGACAAAGGCAGAATCCTCGGCACCAGACAAAATTAAAATAGTAACACCTTGATAAGACTCACAGATAATTAGAGTTTCTAGACGTGTTTCTTCTTTCTGTTTGAAATAAGCACTGTGGTCCTACTACTTATCGTTTGTAGTTTTGCCGCCCATTTATCTAGGTTATAAGTGGCTTTTTATCACAGGCCTAAGTGTCCTTTGTTGAGATGTTTTCTCCTACAGAGACGGGAATATCATTGTTCTTCTGAGAGATCAAAAGTTGTTTTGTGTGATAAAACAACCCCAAGGAAATATGTTGCATAATAAGCTTTAAAAAGATACCAAAGTTATCTTTCAGTCAAAGATTACATTTAAACAGCTTTAAGGTATGTACAGTTGATGGAGGATAGCTCAAACTTCCAAAATCAAATCATGTTGAAATAATGAATGTCTCGTTGGTTGGAAAATGCACATATGCAATCATGATTGAATATGGTGTGTTTGGAGCATCAATCAGTGAAGGATGGTGTATTTGGAGGGTTAATCAATGAAAGATTCTGTGTTTTGAGGGTTAATCAAGTTTCGTATTCCTTTTAATAAATTGTATGCAGAGAGGAGTAATATGCACTCATATACCCTGGTTGTCCAGAGCGAGAATGTAAATTTTCAGGAAGATTTTACACGGCTGATTTACAGACGTATATACAGTAATGATGGAGGTTATAGGTATAGTGGGAGGTTTCATGGTGTGGAGGGGGATCTCAGGAGGGGGAATCTGCCAGGTCCATCGACCATGAAATCACACACACATCTGTATCTTGTCCCAGGTACTAGTCAGTAGTTTAATGCTTTATCACAAACCGTATAAAATCTCACTTTTCTTAGGTTATGTATAAAACAGCTTTAGAAAGTATTTCTATTTCCTTAAACCAACACAAATTGCAGACAGACAAATTTCCCATTTTCCCTCAACCTGTTTGATATCAATATGACACTGGAAAGATTTTTATCTTTTCTAAAAGAAATCTGTATGCAACAGCTCTGAAAATATTTTCTTTCTTCCTCAAACTAAAAAATATTACAGGAAAGTTTTTTCCTTTTCCTATAGGGCTAAGATATTCTAAAATATTAATGGTGTATGATAATATTAATACAGTACAAAGTGTGCTAAACATTTTTCTGCAATACAAAGTGTGCTAAATGCGTTTTCTTTTGTATTGTTTCAGGTGGAAACGGAAAGTGTAGCTTTCAAAAATGGTCAAATTCGGGAAGGAGATCAAATATTACAGGTCAGTACATTTGTGTTACACAAAGGGAATAACTTGTCAGATATAAAAAAATGTATTTTACAGAATTAAACATACTTGGAGAAACAAAAAATTGCAGTAGTTGAAACTTTAAAGCTCCAGTCCTACACTTGACTATACTGGTGCCAATGAAGAATTTACAAATTCACAGCATCAAAATGAAAGCTGAACAACTTTGTGAATCGAAAGAGTTATGGGAGAACCTTGACCAGAAAAGTTACTTTAGGTCAGAATAACAACATTTGGTAGCTTCATCTTTTATAAAAAAAAAAGGAGCAAAGTGGAAGTAACCCTTTCACTCCTATGTAACTTAAGTAAACTCTTCCATGCTTTGATCTGGATGAGTCTATTATGGTCTACAGTGGTGAAAGGGTTAGCTCTTGAGTGGAACTCTTCTATGTGATTATAACTGATTTGGTGGTACATGTAACATTTATCTTTAACTTCAATGTTGTTGTCATCCCAACCAGATTATAAAACAGATGTACAAAGTTATCTTCTACAAAGACTCGGTCATATATTATTCTTAGTCAAACATGTAATTCAGGAAACCTATAATGGCAGAGTAGCTAGATCTTTGTTGTATCCATGCAGGGGTAATATAGTAAGTTTATAGTCGAGGGAGCAGTGGATGTACTTATGTTTGTATAACAATGGGTGGCTGTGCACCGATTATAGAACAACTGATTGAAACAGTCAACCTTACTGGTTTTACTCCATTTAAAATGGGTGATGTATTTTTACGATGGGGAGTCAATTGAAATAGGACTTCCTTACTTATTGTAGTGTTGTGTAGGTAAGCAGTGCACACTGTTGCCAAACATTTTCTGTTCAAATTGAAATGGGCAATTTCGTTTTATGAAAGATTCATAAAAGTTTTATGTGTTTTATATGAAAAAATCTTGAAACATCAAAGACTTTGATGGAGCTTTCTCCTACCCAAGCCTTGCTTCTCTCTTTATCTCCTTTATTACACAGTTTCAGCTTTGTCCTATACGCTTTTTGAACAGTTTTATCACAGAGATCATTGCACCTTATCTGTTGGAGTAAATTAAGGTCTGTGATGAGTAGAACGCAGCGCGAGTCGTGTAATTTTTGTGATACGAGAGCCGTGTAATTTTTGTGATACGAGAGCCAGTGACTTGCCCATGCAGCATTGATTTATTTGATTGCATTATGATGGGGGATATTAAATGATTTTAATGTGTTACAGAAAGGAATATTTAATGAAGGGATATCAAGTTGTTTCAGATACAGTTGTTTATAACGAGTAATAAAATACCTCTATCACCCATCTCTAACCAATTAGAACTGGTCGTAAACATAAGACAACAACCACATTTAATTAGCTTTTTGTATCATTATTATTTCATAACTTGTCTTTAAGTCTTGCAATTTATTCTATCACAAATCTTCTACAAAATGACTTAACCAATTTGTATTAAATCAATTGGATAGTGTTCATGTAATATTTAGACAAAATAATGGCCCAATTTCCTTGACAATGTCACTGACATGCTTGTATCTGTAAAATGGAAGAGTTCATCATCAAAGTAAGTTAGGATTTTTGATATTTATAGATATTGATTTAAGTTAAACTTTGTTTTTTTTCATGGCAGTAGCTCAGGTCTGTTATTTTGTATTAAATCTCATCCTGTACTGGAAGTAATCCTCGAGTCTGGTGTGTCGACTGGCTGTAATCCTACAGTCTGGTTCACACTGAGCTTGGGTGTGCTCCACACCGAAACATATCTACACACATCATATCAATAATACCTTTACAAGTGTAACATAGCTATCAGTAAGCCAGGTTTCCTGCAGTTTTTCACTTCATCAAATGGATCACTAAGGATGCAGAATTATGCCAATGAGACCAGTAAGGATGATAGAGTGCCCAGAACTAACCCTGATAGGGCTGGGCTATTATCCAGGTACAGTGCTCACAACTAGCTAACCTAAATAGGGCTGGGCTATTATCCAGGTACAGTGCCCAGAACTAACCCAGATAGGGCTTGGCTATTATCCAGATAAAGTGCACAGAACCTTCTCAGATAGGGCTGGGCTATCCTATCTGGGCTATTATCCAGATACACTGCCCAGAACTATCCTAGATAGGGCTGGGCTATTATCCCGATACAGTGCACGGAACTAGCCTAGATAGGGCTGGGCTATTATCCAGTTACAGGGCCCAGAACTTACCTAGATAGGGCTGGGCTATTATCCAGATACACTGCCCAGAACTATCCTAGATAGGGCTGGGCTATTATCCAGTTACAGGGCCCAGAACTTACCCAGATAGGGCTGGGCTATTATCCAGATACAGTGCCCAGAACTATCCCAGATAGGGCTGGGCTATTATCCAGATACAGTGCCCAGAACGATCCTAGATAGGGCTGGGCTATTATCCAGATACAGTGCACAGAACTTACCTAGATAGGGCTAGGCTATTATCCAGATACAGTGCCCAGAACTAACCCAGATAGGGCTGGGCTATTATCCACAAATCATGTAAAGTCAGCTTCATTATTAATATTAAATTAATTTACACAGTAACAGGCTTAACTTATCATAAAGGGTTTTCATTAATTTTGTTACATAATTAATAGTTAGCCCCTTAATGTCATAGATTAGGAACTGGTTACATCAATTAATATTTAGCCCATTTATGTCATAGATAAGGAACTGGTTTTAGAGGGGGTAAAGGTCTTCAAACATTGATGTCAATAAAATAGAATGTCCATATTCAAATTTATGCAAAATAATTTTCCATCAAAAGTGTTCCAAGATTTTAACAGGAAAACACCATAGAGATATTTGAGGTTATGTAAACATTTCAGGCTAAGTTGTATAGTAGCTATCAGTGGCATCAGTGTCGAGGACATTAGCAGTGTCGTGGATGCACGGTGACGGTGCCTCAGTCCTGTATGACGGCATTGAACGAGTGGCGTCACCTGGTGGTCTAGACAGGAAGTAGTGTATTAGTGGAGAGCTAGGCCACCGGCGATGGCGCAATAATTACTCAACAAATTGATTGTAAACACCCAAACAAATCACTAATATGCAGGAGCGCACATCAGAAGATCGACCCACCTACCCCATCACAGGAGATAAAGCCATTTATAGAATCGGTACAAAGCACGGCAGTCTCAAACACCAATAACCAATACTCCGAGTGGATATACGCAGCTTTTATATATTGTCTGACAAGTAATGCAGAATGTTCAAAAGTAGATTTCATTGTGTTCAATCTATTATTTCCAAAATCAATGTGTTTTTTATAGTTCAATATACATTGTTCTCTGGGCGATTAAGGCTTGCTTGTAAGTGCCAGACATTTTGTTTTGCGTCATATACATCTTCATTTGTCGCTTTATACATGTTTGTATCCTGTGATGTGGGCATGGCTGCTGTCACAGATAACAACTTTTACCTTCCCATGCTCTCAATAATTGATTTTCATTGTTATGCAATATTTTATGAGATCATTTAAAAATGTTAAATAAAAGCTTAAATTGAATTTTCCCAAATTAAAAATTAATTTTAAATGAAATTACTCCAGTAATATGCACTGTGAGTGCCTTTAAGAGGTTTTACACTAATGCACTTGGATGACCTCTCAATACATTTCTGTTTCTAACACATTACTGTATAAAGTTTAAAGCGAGGACCTATTGTTACATAACATTTACTTTTAATAGTTCTACGTGTAGAACAGATATGGAATTAAGCCAAACAGTGCTTTTGTGTTAAAATGTATAGTGAGTGCTTTTGTGTTAAAATGTATAGTGAGTGCTTTTGTGTTAAATGTATAGTGAGTGCTTTTGTGTTAAAATGTATAGTGAGTGCTTTTGTGTTAAGATGAGCCTGAAAGCAGCTGTGTACAAGTGTGTTTAATTTCTGTTTGATTCCCCTGCAGATTAATGGTATAGATGTGCAGAGCAGAGAACAGGCCATAAAACTCTTCTGTGAGAGAGGGGCAGACATCCGATTGCTCCTTGCCAGACCAGCCCAGCTACAGGTAAGAGTCATCACCATGGAAAGTAGTCATGACAACATTCTAAGAGATTTCAAAGAGTTTAATTGACACAGATTTCAATTAGTATCATTATGTGTTGGTGCTGTAAAACTCCATTTTAAATCGTAACGATGGATTCTTCATCATTGGGTTAATGAAATTGTCTCTAACATGAAATCCAATTTGACATCATTCCTACGGTTGTGTTGGCGGGCTTAGATTAGATAAAGCTGACTTTCAGCATGCTTGTTGAAGTCATAGAATTACCGAATTACCTCAAAGATCCATTAAATAAAAAACACATACACACAAAAACAACAGATAAAAGGTTTTGACGAAGTAGAATTTCAAACAATAACAATCTTTATTTCATGTTTGAAATTGCACTTTTGAAGGAAGATGGAAAAGAAATTGTTGTGTAGATATAGAGAATCGAGATGTATCACTATTGCCATCTGGATTTTATAGGACATTAACCCTGAAATAGTTCAATGCACACAACACATAGAGGTTCTGTTGTAAACCATGCACCAACAGTGAACGACTACTGATAAAAAATATCAAAACACCACTGCTTTATAATGACACATGTTTGATAGAAAAAACAGATTTCATAGATGTTTTTAAACAAACGTTTGTTTGATAAGGTCGTATAAACAAACCTGTTGTTTATGTGTCATTGTATGGAGAGTATAGTCTTTCTACTATTGAATTATCAAGGCAGATATTTCCTGTGTTGTGTAATCTGCTGATATTGGATATTTTTGTCCACATCTGGTAAATGTTTGAAGAGGTCTTGGTTTTTTGGACTCTTTGTGTAAGGTGCTATGTAGTATAGCTATGTACCAAAACACCAATGTTTGTGTAGTATTGTGGAGCCACTAGCCTCTCCCACCTTTCTCCTTACATCCACAAGTACTGCTGGGGTTCTGTACAGCGTTTTGCCTGAGAATACCCCATCTTTCCAGACTTCAGTCTTCTACCCTTACCTTGCTTAGATAAACACAAGCGCTAACTTATGTCGTTGTTGGAGAAGAGGTTTGTAGAGTTTAGAGTTTATTTTCGTAATGTTGAGCTCTGTAGTAGCATCTTGAGTCAGCTGGCAGACTCGTTTCATCCTCCAGAAATGTAGAACAGTTTTAGGATCGCCATAACAATTATAAGCCGAATGCTGCCACCATCAACAGACCACGATACCTGGTAATGCTGTGTGTTGGGTATAGAGAATGAGGCAATCAGCTTATTTGTCCATCATTGTACCTACTACTGCTACATAATGTTGTAGAGGTACGGAATTATCTGTGCATCTGCATGTCATTGACAAGACATCACTTCTGCAACGCTTTGTCCTCGATAGTGTTTGTTGTCCTTGGCACCATTTGTGATTCTTAAGTCTATTGTTATAACTTGTAGCCGCGACATTCATTATACACACATGAAATTCCTACTTCAAGGAGCTAAGGTTTCAACGTGAATGGCAAACAGTTGTTTTCCTGTAGGAAATATGGTAAAGGTTTTGTTGTTTGTCCGTCCTAATCTTGTATTCTAGTCACACAGTTTGTCTGCTTTAAACTTAATTTCACAAAGAATTGTTTTCTTGAAAAAAAGAAGTGAAAATAGACTGTTTGGATGGAATTTTTTAATCTGTTTTAAACAAGTAATTTAAAAACAAAATCTCAATAAATTATGTTATAACTGATACAAGTACAGGTGATTAAGTGTTGAGAATCTTTGATTGCTTAAAAAGAACACATTAGTTGTTGGAGCCTCGTAATGTCAATGGGGACGGCTAGTTTGTACTTTCCAGTACATGACTAAGTAAAGATCCACTGGAAAATGGTAGTTTCTTTGTACCTAGTTTATTTCTGTCTGTCACTATCAACAAATGACAAGAAATTAAAATACTTTGGAACTGTGGCCAAGTTTCCAACTAATATTTCTAGCAAATTTGGCAAGGACATTGGATAAGACTATAGGTATTAAATTGTTGTAACGGAAAGCGTTGATCATGACAAGGACAAGTAGGGCTCATGGATAAGATGGTATGGAGAATCGTGGATCAATTGACCCCAGTAGATAGAAAGGTATGACATCAAAGGCATACAAACAGTGCTTCCATCAACAGTCAGGTCAGTAAGTGTGTGGCCTCTAATGAGTTCAGTAAGAAAACCTGGCCATTAGCATCAACAAGTGATAATTAGGACCAATTGTTTAGTGGTGGCTGGAGCATGGTCTGGACACCGGTCAGTGTTGGAGTGGTGATAGAGCAGGTTTCAGATGTGTAAACTGGCAGTGCTGCCCAAACACCAGTGTTGGAGTGGCTAATCAGTCTACGATGGGTACATCAAAGGCCAGCACTGCCTCATTACACTTCAAAGACAGACAGGGAGGGGTTAACACAACAGGCCAGTACACTATGTATGTCTGCCCTCACCGGCTACCCTGGCTGTGGGCCTCCGGCTGTAATTGGGGGGTCAGAAACCCTCCAAAACATGACAGGTTTTATTCCTCCAGTGTGAGATAGTGTTCTCCCCAAACAATAACATTGAGTCAGTGGAACGTATGTTTGCAGAACTGGAAGGCAAGGTGATGTGTACCCAGGGCTAGGTCCTGTCTGTTGTCTGGCTCTCATTAACCCATTGCACTATGATTAAGTCTTTGTTTGGGGAAGCTTGTAATGATCCTTGCCAAAGTTTTTAGAATAAATCTATTCCTCCTGTACTGGAGATATTTATGGACTTTAACTGAATTTTGCACTACACTGTTTGCTTTGTTTAAACAATCTTTCAAAAAAATCCTTACATCTCATTCCAAAAGCTTTAAATGCCAAAAATCCTTTAAGCCTTCGAATCAATAAAAGTAGCTAAATTGCTTACATAAATGTGTTGGGAACGTGTCTCCTGTTGTAGTCATTAAAACTTGTCTAAGATTTCCCAAGCGTTTAAAAGATCAATAACTGCAGAGTTGTTTTTGCGGAGACAATGGTAAACAATACTGTTGCAGACTCCAATAAGTCACGGCCTCGATGTCTTAGTGTCTGCTGCTCAGTGATATCCTGGCTAGCTGATGCAACATTATACTCTGCTCCCTGTTGATGAAATATTACACATATTAAGTCTTGTACACATATGAAGTCTTGTACACATATTAAGTCTTGTTCTTGTCAGAGGTCGGAGAGAAAACATTCCTGATATTTCCATCAACAGATTTTCTCTGTTACTGCCTAAGATCTTAATTTTGCCATTCTGAAATCTGCATGAGTTTGGAAAGATGGTCATCGGTAAAGGTAGGGGAGACAACTGCTAACCAACTACAAGGGGAGACAACTGCTAAACCAAATTGTAGATCATTTCAAGACATTCAAGTATCAGATTACACTTCATGGAACATTAAAGCATGAATATTTTGTGTTAATGCATTTTCAATCATTCAAGTCCAAAAAGAAAATATATTGATAATTTACTTTGAGACAATTCTATTCTCAGACAATTGTATTCTCAAAAATAGAGTTGTTTTCCAGAAAAAACACCTGTTCAACCATTTTTATTGTAGTGCAGTTTTCTATTCATCAGCAGAAAACCTGTATCAGGTGTGTCTGGGGATAACAGGGTGATTGTAATTGCCCTGACTGGGACCTAATTGGAAATATTGGCTATTCATACACACAATTACCAAGCTTTCCACACTTTCAATATCAATTTCCTGACTGTTCTTGTTACCAATTTCCTATTCTATTAGGCATCATGTTCGTAGTTCTAAAAAAAATAGAGAGATTATTTGTAAACAAGCAAATTATAAGGCTCGTAAGTTTTGAAAGGTCAGCACAATTGGTCTAATCTTAGTCACTGATAACCTTAACTATCCAACCACAATACTTGAGAGTCTAGGTCAACCAGAGGTTTGGAATATGAGGAGTGATTGGTTGCCACGGTGAGGATATTATACCTGTCCTATCTTTGGGCGATAAGTCAATTAAAGTCAGGATGTGTGGTCTCTACCTATCACCCTTCCATCCCCTGGGCAAGACCCTATTTCACTTTTTACCCCCAGTCAGATAATTTTTGCAGTTTTTTTCTTTTATGGCATTTTCTGTTTTTTAAAGATGTTTGAGATGTAGGTGAAATTCTTTACGTAATTTTAGGATGATTAGAAGTTAATGTTGACGGATATTTCAAGGATGCGCTGGAAATGGATGATAGAGTTGGGGAAAAATGATATGCTATTTAACATAGCTTCATATCAACTTGTTTGTAAAAGCTATGGTAGGTGATTGGAGTTATGATGATGTGTCTAGGGGCTCCAGGCTTGCTGGTGTAGGGGATATTGATGGTGTAATGGTTTGGTGTCTTTTAGAATAACTTGCTTACAGAAGAGTTTTCATTCTTCATGATCTTAGAAATGCCAATATTGTTTACATTATTGTTTACCTTGGTCAACAGAGTAAGTGCAGCTCTAATAAATCAAATCTAAATTATCTGACCAAATAATATTTAAAAAGAACCGACAAACCCCCTAATATGCTATTTTTGTGTAAGTTATGTTTGTTTTAGCAGTAAAACAGCAGAGTACAAACTCAACTGAGGTCAATTCAAAGACAGAGAAACTTATTTGGTACGTTTGCATTTCCTGGCAATTTGACTCTGACAGAGTTTAGATAGGTACTACAGGTAGAATCCCTCTGAAGATGTGATGAACTCCCAAAAACAAAACTGTCAATTTGGTAGAGAATTTTGGTACAACACAGTCTTGTATAAACTGGTTTTATCACATGAAATTATAGCTATACAGAGAGAAGTAAGAAATCGGTACACTGTTGTTAGAAACAACTACATACCAAATTTATCTTGGTTTATCATAGTTCAAAAATGCATCCCTTACGTGGCATAGAAAAACTGGTGGGGAAGAATTCTGTCTCCAGTCTTCAGGGCTGGTCATTGCTTTATAATTATCTAATCAAAAAACACTTTCTATGGAAGAGCTCTGAATCTGCTTCTCTTTGATGTTTGTCTCTGTTGTTACAGTTTATCGTGACCGTAAAAATCTTGGTATTCAATTTGCTCTTCGAATCTGCATTTTAAAGTGGCTGCAAAGCTAGGTGAGGGTGGTGTGCAGTCAGTGTGATGTAATGTTTATCTGAAGAGGTGTGATCTCTGTAGCTACCTCCCCTCAAAAATCTACCTTCCCAGAGGAGGTTCCCGCCCTCCCCTTAAAAATCTACCTTCCCAGGGGAGGTTCCTGCCCTCCCCTCAAAAATCTATCATTCTGTTGAGGGTCCAGCTGTTTTCTCTAGATCTGTACTCTACAACACAAGGGGAAGCGTGTCCATGGTTCCCTTCCATACTCTCCCAACTCAGATGGACGTATATTTTGGCCCAAGCAGCACAAATTCAAGAACATTTATTACCTTTAATATTTAATGACAACAGCTCCTCTCCAAGCCTGGAATTCATGATACCTTGTTAAAAGAAATTCTTTTCTAAGCTACTCCTATTAATTATGTGTGCTAATATTAATATGTACTTTAACATAAACTGTTGTGATTTTCTTGGTCGTTGTTGAATATTCACTGTGTAACAGATTTGGAAAACAATTGCACTAAGAAAGCTATTGAACCTTTTGTAGGTGGAAACACAAGATAGATATAGGACTTAACCTTTTTGACCCCAGAAAGTTTCAACAGGGCAATACAAGGTAGATAAAACTAAACACATCCTGACCCCGGAAAGGGCCAGCGGGGAGAGATCACAATCCCTTAATGTACCTAATTAGGGATAAACCACAGACCACATGATATACCCAGAACTGAACCAGGAACAGAGGCCAATCTCTCAGAGGTTCAGACCTGGCTGTTTCACGCTTCATGCCCAATTTGTCTGACTGTCCACTCCTGGATTGTCTCTGTGAAAAAGACAGATGACTCCGAATTATAGGGTTTCTGCTTCCTCAGTCAGAAATGGTATCTTCTTATTTATTAGGCCTCTTTTTATTGGCTGTTCAGTTATTGTCTATTTGTTAGGATTCTGTTCATTGGCTGTTATTTCAGGTATTTTTGTAGGGCTCCTAGTTATCTGTTACTTTTGTGCCCTTGTTAAGATTCTGATGCTGATTTACTGAATTCCCCCTATTTCTATAATTGTTCCGTTTTACTGAATTCCTATTATTTCTGTACGTAATCAATGTAACTGCTTCTGATTGGGTTAATGAAGCCTTAGTTTTAATTTCACGTTCAATCATTTTACATCAGCAGTCCATGATTTATACAGGACCACGAGCCTGTCGGAGCGTTTGTTTGTCGACATCTATAAATGCTGTTTTACGGGGTACATGTTTGTGGAGGCTGCCCTACTGTGTTGGTTCTGCTGCATATTTATGATATTTGTCAGTAAATATGACACTCTTTTAAAGGCAATTCAATGTTTATATGTCTGATTACAGTCCGGCAGTAAATTTGTTAGAGTCTCGGCTGTTATTGATGTTCGGTCCTGTCTAAACTGTTTACACAGTGATTTTAATTTCATTTAATTGAATATGACATAAACAAAATAATTTCAATCAGAAGTTGTTATTCAAACTATCAAGAACTCTGTGCTTGCTGTGTAATTTTGTTTCCATTTCATTTAGTGTTCTGATGGAAAATGTTTTTATTTTAAGGAAATTATAAAAGTCAGATGAATATTAGACCATAAATCACTCCTCAGTGGTGAAAATTACCAAGTTTAAATGTTTTGCGAGCGGCACTTTTACTAAAGTGCTGTGTATCCTTAGTGGCCTGTGATTACTATAACATGTTCCAGTAAAACTTGCTGTGACAACACATACCACCTTGTACCTATCCTGCAGCTAGAAGACTCTCCGACGACTTTCATCGTAATCAATAGAAGTGAAAATGAACATCAAAAATCAGAAGTTATGGTTTCTGTGGTTTTAAATCCAATCAATATTGTCTTCCTTCTTTCTGAGGTGTCGTTTTATAAAAACAAAATATCTCACTAGTGAAGAAAAAGAAAATAAGACTGATGGTTTTAGAGATTTTTAATACAATTTAATGTATTGTAGAGAAGAATTTTCCCTGGCAATAATAAGCATGTTAAACACAGAATCAATAGAACTGGTGTTGGTAGAATAACCTGGAGCTGCTGGTGGTGGCAGCGGTGGAGGTGTTCTAGATTAGATTATGAATGAGGCAGTGATTAGAATTTGATATGAGCCGGTGTATTCCCTACTCATGCCAACTGGGCAGAGATTCTTCACCAAAACATGTCCATTTACAGTTGGGATATTGCTGGTCTTGGCCTTTGATCTTCCACTTCTTCCATTCCATATCCATATGATAAATTGGCCATTTTTTTGGTAGCAGTTTTTAAAGTTCAGATTCGGGTTAGCCAATTAGGTTTGATGGCCCCTCCGAATGCCAGACTTGGCACTTCAAAGCCATTCCTGACAGAGACTGGACATCCACATACCAAGTGTGATAGTAGGCTAACTCAAGTGCCATTGTGGCCATCTCACACATCATGTTGATAAATTAATCCCAACACTGCTCAGGGGTTCTCTGGGGTGATAACAGATGTACAGGGATAGACTTTAACAGTTTCAATCCTGTCTCTTCAATTTATAATATACAAATATACTTCTCCAGCTAAGATTTAAATTTTGGAATATAATCAAAGGGAAGTAACTCTTTCCTGTAACGGTAGAAACACAACACATTTCTTTCCTTCCAACAAGGTCAAGCAGAAATATCAATCTGTACAATAATCATGTCACTATAATAAATGGTACTGAGCAGTATTCCTTTGTTTCTCAGCTGGATGATGGGTTCATGGAAGAACAGAATGGGGTTCTTGATGACTTTCACCTGGACATATTGGAAAAACATCACCATGACAACATACAAATCATGGCATCCATGTTGGCTAGGGTAGGTCGTGTCCTTGACCTTTGTGTGTTGTCCTGCTGCATGCCCCACTCCAGGGGTGGCTCTCCTAGTTAACACCCAGCCTAATTAGCATCAGTTGTGACCTACTTAGGGTTGTCAGCATGTGACGTTATCCCTCCAGGCTGTAACAAGCCGTTACATAATTGATGTTTAGCTTAAATAATCTGCATGCTTTAATCCTAATTATTGCAGCTGTAATGTAATTTTTTGATTGGCTTAACTTATCAGCATGTTCAACCCTCACCCTCTGGGTGATAACTAGCGCCAGGCAAAATAATCTATTGTAGCACTAGTACGGAGCAAGGAGGATGCATCATTTATATAGCTGATATTTATTATTACTATTACTCCTTTGCAATGGTCAGTGTACATATAAGTGTAATACATCATAACTAATCATGATAGCATCAAAGGTAAAAACAATTTATATATGATACTTTCTGACATCTGATAACTGTGGCTTGATACATTGATGCATTGGCCTTGCTTCGAGATCTGTACCTATACATCGTTGTATCTCACTTGTATTTACCCTGACAATTAGCGTATTATGTGCCTATTTGGTACCCTGACAATTAGCGTATTATTTGCCTATTTGGTACCCTGACAATTAGCGTATTGTGTGCCTATTTGATACCCTGACAATTAGCGTATTATGTGCCTATTTGGTACCCTGACAATTCGCGTATTATGTGCCTATTTGGTACCCTGACAATTAGCGTATTATGAGCCTATTTGGTACCCTGACAATTAGCGTATTATGTGCCTATTTGGTACCGTTATTCGGTCCCAAAAGACTTTGGGTGAACATGAGAGATCATCACGGCGATTGCAGATATTTGCCAAGATTTTGTCAAGCATGATGTTTTGAGTTAAATTCAAACTCAACGCCATCTGTGAAATTGTGTAAGGATGCATGTAAAAGTTTTCAATTTGCCTTTGGAAGTCCAACAGAAATACTGCATTGTCTTGGAAAGCATGCTTGTCTGTTGTATGATTTGATTTTTGTTCACAAATTATGTAAATGAGGAAGCCATTTTCTCGTTTTAATTACATTGCATGCGATAAGGTAAGGATTGTGAGGAGCAGAGATACTCCCAGCCGATCGGGACTTTGTATATTGGTGCCAACGTAATTAGTTTGAATACAGAATGAAATCCCAGACATTGATTCTCAGATAGGCCTAGCTAATGGATTGAATTTCAATAAGGCAATAAAATTTCAATATTTTAATTTCTGTATTTCATCTTTTTCTTGTATGATTTTGTCTCCCTGGCACGGCGTGGTAATCTGTAGGTGACGATTTTCCGATCATTATTAGGTCGGTTGTGACGATGTTTCGACCATTATTATGTCGGCTGTGACGATGACGGCATGGTCCTAGTTTTAGACAAAGCCTTATTTATGGTATACTACACTGACGTATCTATTTTCAGACCTGTTAAGTGTACCAATAGCTCCCCTGAGAGTTTTATTGTATAAGAATGAGGAAATATCAATGTGGTATGTGTAGTATAAATCTATTTAAGTGAAACTGCAGTGTTTATATAGATGTTTTAATGATTCATATGTCAGCCGGGCACGCCTAATGAGTGTAAATTATTTATAGTATGAATCATTGTTTGGTTTCACTTTCTGTAAGGTACACTGATCATTCATCAATGACGCTGTTAGATCAAAGAGCGACATAAAAAGTGAAAACAAATAAATAAATTGAACTTAATTGACCCAGGAGATAAATGACATGTAAATGTCGAATATTGGTTGTAGATGAACGGTCATATCTCTGATATTGTCCGTTCAGAGCCAATTAAATTAGGACTGAATTGTTAGAGCATTGGCTATTGTGAAATATTAAGAGATACGGCTACGAAATATGAATCAGTAATGACCCAGGACAGCTTGCCCCAGTGTTTATCTGACTCCCTAGGGTTGGGTGTTCATTAGCTGTTTCTCAGGAGAGGTGAGAAAGAACAGGATCCCAGCCCTTTGATGTCAAATCTCCCCACAGGCTTATGACTATGTGGTATTATCCTTTTTATGCCTTTTATGAAAACTGTTTCTTTGTCAAAGTATCATATTGATGAAAAGATCAATAAAAAAAAAATTCATGGTTATGCAATCCATTGTTCCCTATTTAAAAGAAATCAATCCCGGCCAATCATCAGGTCTAATTCTCCATGTCTTTACATTATCTCTGCTGCTTTGAAATATTAACAAAAAAAAATGGAAAACCAGATTTGAAAAGATATGGATATTGTATGCCCTGGAGTGTCCCGACTCTGGCCTTCTTCTCCTGTAAAACTACAGGGTGTAGGCGATAGAGCACTGCTATGTATTGTCACCACCGTGCCCCAGGGCACCCTGCACTAATTTGAAAGTTAAATGACAGCTCTAACTAGACATCATCTTTGATGTTTCATCAAATATCAGACCTCTTCCGTCACTACTGCTGTAGATCTCGGAAGTAACGGTTAAACTTGTACACATTGGGATCTTACTGTAACAGCACCCATGAAAATTCTGCCTGTGCAAGGGATCTCTTCATATTTTAAAAATCGTCGACGAAGAAAAATGGTTTGTAATTTTCTCTAGATTCTGTTATGATTTAAGGGTACATTTTGTTTGTCTTTTTGTAGAAGCTGTAATAACGCTGCTTTGATTATGAATGTGATGATGATGATTGTGACAGTGTGTGGTGTAATCGGTGTCGCCTTTACCGACACATCTTTATTACCGAGACATACTTCATTGTCACTTACCATTTGTGTGAACTGTTAAATACGTCCTTGTTTTTATCACGTTTGCATGATACTCAATATTTTATGTAGCATGCTAGCTTTTTATGAATGTGATATAATAATAAAATGAATTTTATGATTATTGAAATGCATTGTGTTACTTTGAACAGATTGCTAATAAATGGCTCTGGAGTTTTACGATATGATTAGTCCTATTAATTTTGATGATGGCATCTTTTATATAGATAATTGAAGAATAAATACCCTTCTTTTAAATTATTTGAATAATTATGAATTAAGAAAGGAATAGCTGCATGTAATTTTGACGTATAAAATTGTTACTGTTACATCCTGGACTGGAATAGCTATCGCTGATGGCTGAGGGACAAAATCTATTTTAAGGATTCAAATAATGGTTGAAAACCTCGGACATATAATACTGTGTGGAATAATGGTGTTAAAACCGTTAGGAGGATAATGAATTAGTTATCTAGATAGGTAAAAGGTCTGCCAGTTGTAATATTTTATATATGCTGAAATACTTCAACAAATGGACAAGTAGAAAAAATTAAAAAAACATGGTCAGTTTTTCACATTGTCTCGTTTTTAACCAATACGATGCTCCTAGAAAATGTTAGATTTGAATAATATTCCAACATTCGTTATAAAGTTGTGTTTGTTTTGACAGGGTCATTTTGACGAGGAAGGCGGAACAACGGATACGGCTACCACAGAAAACTCACTCCACAAACACGAAAAGGACAGCGGTGTGGGCCGCACCGACGAAAGTTTAAGGAATGAGGAGAGTTCAGAACAGGTACATGTTTTTTTTAATTCTTGCACGTGGAAATGTTCACGTTATGACTCTTGAAACTGTTAGCGGTGAGAAAATGGTTTCGAAATCTATATATTCTATACTGGGTATATATAATCTAATATTTACGAGTGGATTTTTGCATTAGTTTACTCAATACGAAAAACATGAGCATTTCCACAAAGCGAAAATCTCTGCTTTCACAGTATCTGATTCTTGTCACCGTCACGTGTCCTATGGTAGCAATGCCCAGCTGTCAGTTATTACAATATCATAGAGTTTTGTTTATTAATTACATGAATCACAGAATCGTTTCTCAGTTTATTGATTAGAAATACTTCGTAACTGACTTTGATTCTTTTTAAAACTACATTTTGTCATTGTAATCAGCTGTTTGCCAAATAGATGTGGCTGTTTATGAAATCCAAGATTTTAGTGACAAAAATCACTTTGATTGATGGCATTGTCTGGCTGGTATCATAATTTAAAAATTAATTTGTTCAATTACCATTAAATAATGAATATTACATCTCTGAAAATAGATCTGATAGTCTGTTGTGAAGACATCTGATTTATCAATTGAAGGAATCCAAGCTAGTAAGTGTTATTTCCAAATCACTATACGAGGTTATAAAATAAATTTGTTACATGAGAAAAAATTGAAAGGATGGTAAATTTGGTATCAGACAGAACAAATTGGAGTAGTTTCATAGAAAACGTGGGACATTTTGACGCTAAGATGATAGTACGGCAACGTAGTAGTAACAGACGAGCGATCAATGGGGGCAGCATGTTTGGAAGTGAGGCAGTCCCTATCTACCAGAGGCCAATACTAATATAGTCTAATTGTCAAATCACCATGACACCATTTAAATTTTGATGTTATTTTTTCATCAAAAAAAAAATCCAGTAACTATTGTGGTGCTATTTTTTTCCCGATCAAAGTCGCCAGTCTCGGTATGTTGCTTTTGATAGGTCGTGTTTACTTACTGAACCGAGACACATTGTACAGCTGTAATTTCAGAATATAAATATTTTGATTCAGTTTGTAATGTTTCAATGAATTTAATGTGCTATATAATGATCTACCTGATGGGTGACAAACGGCCGCCTGTTGTGGGACAGGTAAGCCAGGTAAAACACACCTGTCCCTCGCTTTGATCCTGTCTTTGTGTACGTGGGATATTGTTTCCTTTGCTTAATATCAATCGCACCTCTTACAGATATTATTGCATGATACAGTTTTTCTATCAAATTAAGACTTTTCAAACAGTGTATCATTCAGTTATCACATTTTCCAGCAGTTGGTATCTTTAAATAAGTAAATTAATCATTTATGTGATACTTTCTTTAAAAAAATTACTAGCTTTACAAAAAAATGCTTACTTTACAAAACTGTTCATACATCTATTCATGATTATTGGGTTAAAACTTTTGTCGTTTTCAATTTCAAAAGAATGTTTTATTGGAAAAAAACTGGCATTGGATACTTCTGTGATCTACACTAATGCTTTATTTGGAGACAATTTTGAACTTAGACTTGGTGAGAAAAGCCCAAATTTGAAAACTCAGACAAGATCTGTGAGGTTATTAGTGTTGGTTAGAGAATGAAGTCACCTGGGAGACGTGAAGATTTGAATTTAAATGTGGAAAATTGTCGTTATTTGAAGTTGATACCAAAGTGTTTTGACTTTGATTGAATTAGGTCAGGTAAAATGGGTTGGTCTGTAAGATAATTTCTTGTTTTGCATTAGATAAGGCCAGATACGTCTTAGTGATGGATGGATATGCCACAAATCTGTGTCCTAAACTTTTGACAAATACGAAAATCAAGCAGATACATTTCCATTGTACGAGGGGATAGTAGATAAAACGGAGAAATTCCTCAACTCTGATTGTGGCTGTGTGGGGCTAATCAGCCTTAAGCAAGAATGAAATTGAGAAATCAGGTTTAATTCTACACATGAAATACAGAAATTGGATCATGTACCAAGTAACGGCATAGTTATGCTGGGGTTTTCTTTCAAAATGACATGTAAATACAGGAAACGCCAGACATAAAAAAGGCCTAATTTTTTTTGCCAAAAATAAATTTGTTTTAGGATTTCCTGGGATAGGTTTTCATACAATCATTTATCATACCGCAAAGTGGAAATATTTCTTCTCCGATAACTCCTCGTTTTTAAGGGTTCTTGATATGTATCACTGTAAACCCATAGATATATAATGGTTTGATGAAACTGTATCTAAACATCAAAGGAAGTGTGGTCTGGGCTGTATCAGACACAACAGATAGCTGCTTCACTCTGCTCACCTGTTCCTTTTGATACAGAGACAGATTCCATCTCACAAGTTAAAAGTCGGAGTGAAAACATTAAGATATCCTGTCTAAGCCACAGTAATACAGTATTCTAGCCTGATAATGTCGGGTCAATCTGGGAAACCACAACCACTAACTTAATGTCATATATCTTTACACTCAGAAAATATACAGGTAAATATTGCTATCATGAAGATGCCAAACTTTGTATGATATCTGTATGATGGTTTGTAAGATATATAGACGTTTGTATTAGTAAAAGAGAAATTTATTCGGGCAGAAAGACTGACCTTTTGTCATTATAAGGTATTGTTGATTATTGGTACCTATACTTCATATGTTGTCCTCGTTGAGTAAAAGATGAACTATTGTCCCCACAAATAAGTACAAAATGGTCAGTTCATGAATTTATATGTGGCCAAATGCTAAGTGATGTATAATAACATGTTGTACATGTGTAGCTTGTGTGTATATCTGTTAGAACATTAAATCTCCTAAAATATTAAAAAAAACACTAAAATGAACCCGAATCAAAGTTTAATGTATCTAGTTCATGCTCAAATTTTGGGAATGTTTCCTTACAATAGTCCAAACATGCATGATATATGTGTATAGATTGTATATATGTATGTACATATTTAATTTTGCATGTAAATATGTAGACTGTGTCTAATTTAGCCACACCTCAAGTTGTTTGATGTGGTGTAACCATGGTGATTAGTGATGCTAGATCTACACAAGCACTCATTACCATACTCATTAACATTTCTGATGAAACATCACTATCTCCGTCACCAATCTCGTCACCGTAGTCGGGCGAGGAGGACATGTGGCGACACCTAACACGGAACAACACGCAAAAAACGCCATCCTCACTCACCTGATTTACATACGTAGTACCGAGCAGATTGTCATTGGTCAGTTAGCTTGGGTTGTTTCTGACTCACACCGGTGTTATGAATGGTTTCGTGTACCTTGTGTACATATACTTAACTCTGTCAGCTCCACGCTAGTAAATCTTTTAAACAAGGGCATTATTAAACATCATTTGTATAGTATGAAAAATTAGTCTTGTCACAACATGATAATTTACTTTATGTCTGTAACATGATTTCTGTGGTCCGTTTTATCAGAAATAAACGCTGATCCAGTCTTGATGTTTACAGGGTCAGAAACATGTCTTAATGAAATATAGCCTTATCTTAGAGTTGCTGTGATGATAAAAATTAAGGATACAGTATTTAGAAAAAACATTAAAATGAAACAACTCAAATGTAGAAACTGCTTTGATATCAAAAGTTAATTAGTGTACTGTGTTTGTGTGTATCTCTCGACAAAGCTAATATAGATATATTCTCTGTTACAGGATGTGTACGAGTCGGAGTTTACCAATTCTCCAGCAGCTACATCAAAATTCCGCCCAAATTACAAGCACCTGAAGGACGAGCAGCATTACAGCGACGAGAGCTTCCTGTCGACAGAGGTGGTGGACCAGGAAGGCATGGTACAGATGATCCCTCCGGATGTGTGTGAGAGATTTCGCGAGGACTTGGCACGTCGGTGTGGGGAGCTGCGTGGTGATGAGGTGCTGGTGAGGAAGGATTCTCAGAGCAGTATAGAACAAGAGTTGGCCATCCTCAACAAGGAGATGGAGGACATACAACTCGAGTGTCAGGAACTCGCAAACGCTCGCATGCGTGACCAGTCCAAGCCACAGAGTCCTCGTGACCAAACACCATATCGTAGTCCCAGAATTGTGCCCCGTATGGGAACACGTCTCGAATTTATGAAACATGTGCAATTATATGACCAAATAGACAATATCGGTAGAAAGGACACGCTGCCCTCTATAAAGGGGCTGACAATTGGTGGTCAGGCATCCTCGGATAAAGGCGACCGTGACGCGTCGACAACAAGTGCTTATAACACAGGGGAGAGCTGTCGTAGCACTCCGCTCACTCTCGAACTTAATCAAACCTCGGATGAGGGGGAGAAAGGATTCAAAAACTCCATGCTGTGTTTAGCCCCCATCCCTAGTGCCCCCACAATGACTTCCTTTAGTGATACAGAAAAACAAACACAGACTCCCTGTAGGTCTCACGAGAGTTCTAGTGAGGACACCTTTTTAGCGGCAAATACTCCATCAGACTCTGTGCCTACTGGTACACCACTACTGCAAGAACAACAGAAAAACAAAATGGGCGAGTCCCTACAGGACTTGTACATGAAATACGCAGATGTGATGTACACAAACCAAGCCAACCTGCAGCACACGATTCAAATACAGCAGAAACTCTTTCAGCAACAGATGGACCAGAAACGGCCACGTAATACTGGACCATATGCTTCAAGTGGCAGTGGGTCCACACACGGACTGCCACCTAGTGGCCAGTCACCTGGCAATGCCACGCCCCCGGGTAGTGGTGAAATGGAATGGGTTGTAAAGCGTCGCCCTGATGGCACACGCTATATCACAAGGCGACCAATCAGAAATAAGATGCTCAAGGAAAGAGCAAAAAAGATTTCTGAAGAGCGATGTGGGATGACAACAGATGATGATGCAATGAGTGAGTTAAAGACTGGACGTTATTGGTCTAAAGAGGACAAAAAACGACATCTAGAAAGATCTAAAGACCATAAAAAACGCAGGGAACTCATGATGAAAGCTAAAATGGAAACTCTGAAAGAAACTGAAGAGAAAAAGGAGGTGAATGTAGTAGAGTTAGGTCACCGTAAGATGATGAAACACAAGGGCAAGAAAGTATTTGATGATTTCACAACTGTGCAGGAGATGCTAGCCCATGGGAGTCGTGTGCCTGAGGGTAAAACGTACAATCCCTTACTGTCAGTGACAACAGTGTGATGTTCGTAGGAGTCACGTTACATTGCTCCGGACACAAGAGATCACAACTTTATATAAGTAGTGTGTTATCATGAAGGCTTAATGTTTTTGGTGTCAAGGAATAAACAGATTAGTTTTGACTTTCTCAGTTTGAGTCATGTGATGACCATGTGTTTCAGGGTATCGTTTCCATGGAAATATACAAACTTACGCAATGTTTTGTTCAATTCAGCTTTCAACCAAAGGATGTTTATTTTGTTGACAACAATCATTTTTGTTTTCTATCTTTGAAAGTCCTTGGGACTTGTTGAATGAATATTATTGAGATGGGAAACAAAGTCCTTGTTACATGTGAATGAATATTAATGAGATGGGAAAGAAAGGAACATGAGATGGACCAGTGTGTTGAAATAAGTCCTGTTTTTAAAGCATTTATTTGACTTTTTGTAAATCAAGGTTTGACCCGACTCCCATCACTATTGAGATAGGACGAACATTTAACAAAGTGCTGTGTTGTGGGAGAAGAGTTATCTACCCTTGAGACAATGTAGGCCACCGTGTCGTGACCTACTCTGTGTATGTCCTATATATATATTGCGATGTAATATTAATGTGCTCTAAGTCATGACAATACAAATGTAATATTATCAATATCATTATTATATTATATATAAATATATATATAAACTTCGAAATGTGATACAATTGTTGCGTGTATATTCTGTATAACATACCATACCTTGAGAGAATTTTACGCCAGACTCGCCACAACAAATCATCAGAAAATATTCAAGTATAACGATTTATTTATTTACAGCAGATCTATGAATATGGATATAAGATCTATGAATATTCATTCTTGGATTATGAATGAATAGCAATAGCAGATATGTGAATATTAACATCAGACCTATGAATATTGATATCAGACCTATGAATATTCATTATGGATTTATGAATAATAATAATAGCAGGAGTATGACTGTTGACATCATATCTATGACTATTGATACGAGGTGTATAAATACTGTTACTGGAATTACAAATAAGAATGGTAGGGATACGAGCTTTGATATCACATGTATGAATATTGATAAAAAGAGATTTGACATTCATACTGGAATAATGGATATAAATAGTACAGGGGATGTTTATTTATTGATACATGTACTTTAAAGGGGTTTTTCTGCAGGATTTTAATTTTTGTCCCCCAAAATAAACAACAAACTAATCCATGCTTGCATACTTTGTGCCATGTCAACCAAACACGATAGTGATGCTGCAAAATTGTTCATTATTGCAAATCTGCAAAAATGAGAAAAAAAGAGATTTTGAGAATATCAGATCTATGATTATCGATAGAAAATGTACAGATTTTTGATTCGTCAGATCTATGAAAATTTTGTTCTATCTGAAAATTACAAGAAACTTCGGTGTTCAGTATTATCATTTATATTTTTGAATATTTTCTGGTGATTGTTGTAGTGTGGTCTCAATGAATCTGATTCTACAGATTGAAGAGATAGAAAAACATGAGGAGAGGAACGATAAGTTATTTACAGTGTGCTGGGTGAGAGTGGAGTTCAAGTATAGTGTGTTGGGCGTTAGTCTGCGCGATTGTTTGTTGATGGAAAGTACGACTGAGGGAAAAATGTAAGAAAGTATGGATGGGAATACATACTCAGAGGCTTGTATGTAATAAAGGTATGACTGTTGAATTACAAACAGGAATTTCACCTCTGTATGGTTGGCTTAGCAGCCAGTCCCCTTAACCAATCGAACACAGCCTTCATGTAGGTGTCATCTATCACTGTATTTTATCTGGTTATCTCCCTTTACTGTAAAATGTGTGTAGAATTCCTTTTAGAATACTGCAATCAAGAAAAAGAAATATTAGAAATTTCCTGATGATGATTTCAATCCTGAAAGTGACATATGCATGAAATCTTATTATCTGGAAAATGAGCTTTTCTGAGTCGATGACCTTTGTTTTGGAGTATTTATGAGTATAAGTAATTACCAGAATCTTGGCCTGTGGGATTAAAAATCTACACAACATAATTGTCATTTTGTCATGAATGTAAAAAAGCAATTATAAATCAATATGGACATTTTTGGTGTTGTAAATTCTGTACAATTACTTATATAAAATTCATAATCTGTTATTGTGAACAAAACATATTGATTATGTCACAAAAAGCTTTTAAAGAAAAGTAATAATAAAATTTTCATGAGCAATTTAATTTCTTTTTCAAATTAACAGTTTTTCATTTCTTATATATACAAGTAGAATTATCTTTTAAAATCTCAATAGGTCTTTTTTATCAATTTGTTTGTACAGTTAAATTTTTTTGTGTAATCATTCTCCAGATATCTGTAGTGAAACCAAGTCATGCATTGCCCCATACCAACCACAATCCTGTGTGGGACATGTTAGAAAATGCCTCCTACCCTTCTGTGTCTCGGCCCCCTCCCCCCAGTTCGTGTATCCTGTTGCTAGCCTGGTGATCTTTGAAATACTAGTATGTTTATTGTGAACATGAAATGTTGTCTATATGGTTCTGATATTGTTATGGAAATCCTGTTGCCAATGAAGCGCTCTGTATTTGTAGTCACGTCAACAGTTATTGCAGTTTGTGCACACAGTATAATATTAATATTGGCTAGGCCAGTGTGCACTTAGGTAACAAGTGCTGTCCAGGTCCTGCCTGGGTCTAATGAGTACTGCCTGGGGTCTGAACAAGTGCTGGTTAGGACCGTATAAGTACTACCTGGGTCTGAACAAGTGCTGGTTAGGACCGTATAAGTACTACCTGGGTCTGAACTAGTACTGTACAGGGTCTGAACGAGTGCTGGTTAGGACCGTGCAAGTACTTCCTGGGTCTGAACGAGTACTGTCCCGGTCCGTATAAGTACTACTTGGGTCTGAACGAGTACTGTCCAGGCCCGTATAAGTACTACCTGGGTCTGAACGAGTACTGTCCAGGTCCGTATAAGTACTGTCCAGGATCTGGACAGATATTGGCCGGGCCAGAATAAGTACTACCTGGGTCTGAACGAGTACTGTCCAGGCCCGTATAGGTACTGTCCAGGATCAGGACAGATAATGTCTGGGCCAGAATAAGTACAAACTGGGTCTGAACGAGTACTGTCCCAGTCTGTATAAGTACTGTCCAGGGTCTAAACAAGTGCTGGTTATGACCGTATAAGTACTACCTGGGTCTGAACGAGTACTGTCCAGGCCCGTATAGGTACTGTCCAGGATCAGGACAGATATTGTCTGGGCCAGAATAAGTACAAACTGGGTCTGTACACAGTATAACACAGAAAAATGTTGGTCAGAGAGAACAATTGTTGAAGTATGTACATCATCATGTAACATGTATGTGTACACCAATACGACAGCTCTGTCAGTGTACAATGGTATGATGACAACTGTCGGTGTTCATTGCTATGACAACTGTCAAGTGAACACTGGAAAATGAAATTTTGGCCGGATTGATGTGTGCAACCAGTTGCCTGGCCTTTTAAGTGATAAAACTGAAACAATTCAAAATAAATTATTGTTTTATATTTAAATTTGGTGTTTGTTGTCTTTGTTCTGGAGTGAACACTGGATATGAGACTGGAGAGAAGAAGCCCTTAATTAACACTATTAAATCATTACATGATAAAGACTATGACAAGTGTAATGAGTAGGTGGTTAACCCTTTCACCACTGTAAACCTTAATGGACTTATCCAGATCAATTAATGGAAGGGTTAATTAAAGTAACAGGGGTGAAAGGGGTTCATTGTCCTGCGATAATATGTTCCTTGAAGTGAATCTCATGGCTGTCTTGAAGAATAGTAACCAAAAGCATTTATCAGTTGCTATCAACTGATTTAAGGGAAACGTGTCTTAGTTTCATGGATGGACATGTAAGCATGTCTGTTCGTATCAAGTCTTGCAAACCTTGCAGTAAGATTTTCCTTGCAATTTGTAAAGAAAACATACAAGGGGAGGTAACTCTCACAACCATTACCTTGACATTTTGGTGTCCAGGATATAATCTACCAACCTCCAACATTATCAACTCTTAACAACATTTTCTTTATGAGAGTAATTTATAAAAATCAAAATTTGTGAAATGAAGTCACCCTACAGAATAAAACCCTTCTCCTCATCGGATGAAGTAAGCTTAGCACATTTTGGCATTGAACATGCTTGACTTATCATCCTGAGAAGCATATCGAGTTGTTTTTCCTAACTTGGGAAATGTGATTTTTATATAATAACAACAAACCTGTCATACTGGTATAGTTCTTTATATTTTAGAAATAGTGAATTGGAAAACATCGTTGACTATCATAACCAATCATAAATCTTATTATTTTGTTTATCTTTTTAAGATCTATTGCCAGAATGGTTTTTACCTACATATTGATTGACACTTTTTTTCTCCCATTTCTGACCTGAGAACTTGGTAAAAATCGAGAATGACTAATTGAAGGTGATTTTCTAGATACAAGTTAACCAAAGAAAATATCTTAAAATAGCAGTATAGTAAACCAAAGGTATGACTTTCAAATGAAATTAGTTTAGAAAAGCTGAATAGCAAGTTTGTGTAATAATTATTTATTTCCATGAGGCAAAGTAGGATGATGACTGTTTGGCAGTAGATATTATTCTGCTGGACAAAATATCACTTTAATAACATCATATACCACACCAAAAAATTTAAAGTCGACCTTTGTTTTTATGCTCTACCCCCCTACAAGGACAAACCAGACACAGCCAGTAGGGGACCTGTAGTCCATGTACCTCACTGGGTAGACCCCCTACAAGGACAAACCAGACACAGCCAGTAGGGTACTTGTAGTCCATGTACCTCACCAGGTAGACCCCCTACAAGGACAAACTCAGACAGCCAGTAGGGGACCTGTAGTCCATGTACCTAATCATGTACACCCCTTAAAAGGACAAACTCAGACACAGCCAGTATAGATTCTGTAGTCCGTGTACCTCACCCTGTAGACCCCCTACAAGGACAAACCAGACACAGCCAGTAGGGAACCTGTAGTTCATGTACCTAATCATGTACACCCCTTAAAAGGACAAACAAGACACAGCCAGTAGAGGACTTGTAGTCCATGTACCACATCCTGTAGACCCCCCCATAGGACAAACAAGACCCAGCCAGTAGGGGAGTACCACACCCTGTAGACCCCCATAGGACAAACAAGACCCAGCCAGTAGGGGAGTACCACATGCTGTAGAGCCCCTACAAGGACAAACCAGACACAACCAGTAGGGGAGCATCTCACCCTGAAGAGTCCCTACATGGACAAACCAGACACAACCAGTAGGAGAGCATCTCACCCTGTAGAGCCCCTAAAAGGACAATCCAGACACAACCAGTAGAGGACTTGTAGTCCATGTACCACACCCTGTAGACCCCCCATAGGACAAACAAGACCCAGCCAGTAGGGGAGTACCACATGCTGTAGAGCCCCTACAAGGACAAACCAGACACAACCAGTAGGGGAGCATCTCACCCTGTAGAGCCCCTACAAGGACAATCCAGACACAACCAGTAGAGGACTTGTAGTCCATATACCTCACCCTGTAGACCCCCTACAAGGACAAACCAGACACAGCTAGTAGAGGATCTGTAGTTCATGTACCACAATCTGTAGATCTCCTACGAGGACAAACACGATACAACCAGTGGGGGAGTACCACACCCTGTAGAGCCCCTACAAGGAGAAACAGGACACAACCAGTAGGGGAGTACCACACCCTGTAGAGCCCCTACAAGGACAACCAAGACACGGCCAGTAGGGGAGTACCACACCCTGTAGCGCCCTTACAAGGACAAACCACACACAGTCAGTAAAGGAGTACCACATCCTGTAGAGCCCCTATAAGGACAAACCGGACACAACCAGTAGAGGAGGATCTCACCCTGTAGACCCCCTACAAGGACAAACCAGACACAGCCAGTAGGGGAGTACCACACCCTGTAGCGCCCTTACAAGGACAAACCAGACACAGTCAGTAAAGGAGTACCACATCCTGTAGAGCCCCTACAAGGACAAACCGGACACAACCAGTAGAGGAGTATCTCACCCTGTAGACCCCCTACAAGGACAAATCAGACACAGCCAGTAGGGGAGTATCTCACCCTGTAGACCCCCTACAAGGATAAACCAGACACAACCAGTAGGGGAGTATCTCGCCCTGTATATCCCCTACAAGGACAAACCAGACACAACCAGTAGGGGAATACCACACCCTGTAGAGCCCCTACACAGACAAACCAGACACAGCCAGTAAAGGAGTACCACACCCTGTAGAGCCCCTACAAGGATAAACCAGACACAACCTGTAGGGGAGTATCTCACCCTGTATATCCCCTACAAGGACAAACCAGACACAACCAGTAGGGGAATACCACACCCTGTAGAGCCCCTACACAGACAAACCAGACACAGCCAGTAAAGGAGTACCACACCCTGTAGACCCCCTACAAGGATAAACCAGACACAACCAGTAGGGGAGTATCTCACCCTGTAGAGCCCCTACAAGGACAAACCAGACACAACCAGTAGGGGAATACCACTCCCTGTATATCCCCTACAAGGACAAACCAGACACTACCAGTAGAGGAGTATCTCACCCTGTAGACCCCCTAGAAGCACAAACCAGACACAACCAGTAGGGGGGTACCACACCCTGTAGAGCCCCTCCAAGGACAAACCAGACACAGCCAGTAGAGGAGTACCACACCCTGTAGAGCCCTTACAAGGACAAACCAGACAAAGTCAGTAAAGGAGTACCACATCCTGTAGAGCCCCTACAAGGACAAACCAGACACAGCCAGTAGGGGAGTACCACACCCTGTAGACCCCCTACAAGGACAAATCAGACACAGCCAGTAAAGGAGTACCACACCCTGTAGAGCCCCTACAAGGACAAACCAGACACAGCCAGTAAAGGAGTACCACACCCTGTAGAGCCCCTACAAGGACAAACCAGACACAACCAGTAGGGGAGTATCTCACCCTGTAGAGCCCCTCCAAGGACAAACCAGACACAGCCAGTAGGGGAATACCACACCCTGTAGAGCCCCTACAAGGACAAATCAGACACAGCCAGTAGGGGAGTATCTCACCCTGTATATCCCCTAAAAGGACAAACCAGACACAGTCAGTAGGGGAGTACCACACCCTGTAGAGCCCCTACATGGACAAACCAGACACAACCAGTAGGGGAATACCACACCCTGTATATCCCCTACAAGGACAACCCAGACACAGCCAGTAAGGGAGTACCTCACCCTGTAGAGCCCCTACAAGGACAAACCAGACACAGCCAGTAGGGGAGTATCTCATCCTGTATATCTCCTACAAGGACAAACCAGACACAGCCAGTAGGGAAATACCACACCCTGTATATCCCCTACAAGGACAAACCAGACACTACCAGTAGAGGAGTATCTCACCCTGTAGACCCCCTAGAAAGACAAACCAGACACAACCAGTAGGGGAGTACCACACCCTGTAGAGCCCCTCAAAGGACAAACCAGACACAGCCAGTAGGGGAGTACCACACCCTGTAAAGCCCCTACAAGGATAACCCAGACACAACCAGTAGGGGAGTATCTCACCCTGTAGAGCCCCTACAAGGACAAACCAGACACAGCCAGTAAAGGAGTACCACACCCTGTAGAGCCCCTACAAGGACAACCCAGACACAGCCAGTAGGGGAGTATCTCACCCTGTAGAGCCCCTACAAGGACAAACCAGACACAACCAGTAAGGGAGTACCACACCCTGTAGAGCCCCTACAAGGACAACCCAGACACAGCCAGTAGGGGAGTATCTCACCCTGTAGAGCCCCTACAAGGACAAACCAGACACAACCAGTAGGGTAGTACCACACCCTGTAAAGCCCCTACAAGGATAAACCAGACACAACCAGTAGGGGAGTATCTCACCCTGTAGACACCCTAGAAGGACAAACCAGACACTGCCAGTAGGGTAGTACCACACCCTGTAGAGTCCCTACAAGGACAAACCAGACACAGCCAGTAGGGGAGTACCACACCCTGTAGAGTCTCTACAAGGACAAACCAGACACAGCCAGTAGGGGACCTATAGTCAATGTAACTCACTGGGTAGACCCCTACAAGGACAAACCAGACACAGCTAGTAGGGGAGTACCACACCCTGTAGAGCCCCTACAAGGACAAACCAGACACAACCAGTAGGGGAGTATCTCACCCTGTAGATCCCCTACAAGGACCAACCAAACACAACCAGTAGGGGAATACCACACCCTGTATATCCCCTACAAGGACCAACCAAACACAACCAATAGGAGGGGGGGGCGGGATATCTGTAGTTCATGTACCACAACCTGTAGAGCCCCTACAATGATAAACCAGACACAACCAGTAGGGGAGTATCTCACCCTGTAGAGCCCCTACAAGGACAAACCAGACACAGCCTGTAGGGGAGTACCACACCCTGTAGAGCCCCTACAAGAACAAACCAGACACACCAAGTAGAGGACTTGTAGTCCATGTACCTCAC